TAGTAGGCTACATACATTTACCTTGTCCACCCGTACATGGGTAGTTTTAAAAACAGCATTTTCTGCCGGGTGACATCACGCCGCACTGTGGTCAAGTCGAACTAGATCCAACTTTTTTTCTGCATGGCGCAACATCATTTTGGCAGGGCCCCCCTATGGTACTGCTCCCCACACTACCACAGTCAAATGAATGAGAAGGGCTGTTTTTTACATGCAGGGTAAAGTTTGTCTGAACATGGGCTTGTGGCGAAGGATACCTGCATACAAAGGTTTCACACCGAAGCAAAAGCACAAGATCCTTCCACCAGCTCCTCTATCTGTCATTGCATCTGGGTGCCAGGATATGAAACTCCAGCTTTTGTGTTTTCCCTCACCCATTACCATCACACAATTTAGCTGTAGGTCACTCCTGTGGATATATCCAGAATCCACCTCCTATGCAATAAATTAATCTAGACACAGCGACTGAGTCAGACATAGAAAGTGAATGAACTGGCAGAATGAGTAGAGTTTAATGGCGGTATAGAATTAAACTAATGACACTAGAGAAAAAAAATAAAAGGAAAAACCTAAAACTTAGACATGGCTCCATATATTGTCTAATTAATTGACTACTCTCACTTCTTGACAGTTTCACTTGTTCCCCTACTGTGATCCCAAAGCAACAACCCTATAATAACAGTACTACTTTTCAGGATAAGCCAAAATGAATAGGTTTGACTCAGAGGACATGGGAAACATAGGGGTGGAGGTTGCATTTTGCTGAACCTGAGTGTGTGCATGTGTCTGCATGTTGCCTCTGCAGCCTGGCTGCATTCTGAATCTATCAATTTTATTCATTCCTTTGCAATGTTATGTTATTTACAGTTTTAAAAGGTTAATTTTATGAATTCTAGGCTGCAAAGCAACCTTAGATTAACTCTTTCAAACTGCAATGTCATAACCCTCTGCCGGTAACTCAGTGGCTCTGTCTGATGTCCTGGCATTGCATGTCACTTTTATGTTGCCAATGGTGTGAGAAACAGAGTACCTTAACAAATGAGGAGAACAAACAGCAAGGGAAGGAGCCTAAAGTTGACCAATAGCAATAGGAAAAATATTGCCAGAAGTGTGTTGCTATTGTTCAACAGTACAAAGTAAAATGGTTAAAGTAACTCTACTTTTATCTTATCCTATTATCCTAAGTTTCCACATAAAAGTACAACAGTCATGTTAAAGATGATAATTCACCGTTGTAACATTGTAGAAAAGAAAACACAAAGCATGCCACTGACACTTTAAAGGAACAGAAAGGACTATGAACTAAATGCCTTTGTCAGTGCAAGCAACACTGTTTCATTGTGTGTTAACATAATATGTGTAAAACCATGTGTGGTAAAAGGGTTAATACTTGGGATTTGGTACCAGACATATTTGTATGTCCTCTGCCTGCCAAGTTTGCCCTCCCTCCAACATATGAGTATTGGCCCAGTGCAAATATTCAGCAAGGAAGAGGGGGGGAAAGCTGAGATAAGCCGTTTTTCGTGGGAAGATATGCCCTAGGAGCTTATCCTACATGTACACAACAGGAAAACGCCAATGAAGCGCTCACTTGTCAAACACACACTGTGCACACATCAAAATCATGCAAGGCTAATATTATGCAAGTTATAAATGTAAAATGCTTACAAAAGCAACCATAACTAACACTAAAAGTCCCGAACACTTGCAGCTAGTCACACATTCACGTCCGACAGCACCATGCCCAGCTACTGGACAGCTGTCATCTCGTACTTGTCAATCAGCTGCAATAACGCAAAGGCTGACAGTTGACAACTGACGCTGCCAGACTGAAGCTAAGGCTTAATGTGCCACATCAAAAGGTCGGTGGGTATATAACAGTGGATCATGGCATGAGCATTAGATAGTCTGACTCACCGAATGGTTGACTCCCCACATAAGCACGCTGAGCAGAGGGTCGCTGGCACGGAAGAGCTTCACTTTCTGAGCAACGAAATGTTTTTTCTTGGTCTTTGTTTTGCTTGCAATAGATGCTGCAATGCTGCTCGCCGAAGCCATCTTTAAGCAAACTGGCCGATTACTGAAATCTGTACGTTAATCCTGACAGTGTCTTTCCTTGAAGCAGGCACAGTGGCCACCAGTTCACGATTTAGAGACACAAATACTATTCATTTAGCCAGCTCGCAAATCAACTTGCCCCAGTTCCTTTTTTTCCATCCAACGTCCCACACAGCTTGGCTGACGATACTACCCTGCGTCAACAAGGACTGATGAGAAAATACGATGTGTTTAAGTTAATACTGCTGTTCTCCTTCGCCTTGTCCGCCGCTTCCATCAGCCCACATCATCAGTCACCTCTCTTCCTTCCTTGACTCATTTGGTGATGCGAGGTCTCACTGAGCTGGCGTTAGCATAGCCGAGAGGCTTGCTAGCTAGCAAACATCAACGAGAAATTTCATTAAAAGACTGAAGAAAACGGGAAAATTATGAAGCCCCGTGACAAATGAAAAATCAGTTATCATGCGGGCCTAAAACAACTGAATAAAATAACATACTAAGGACGCTGAATAGTCTACTAAACGCTCCAGTTACCAGTTAACTTTGGTCCCTCCGACCTTCGCTAGCGAGCTAGCTATGTAACGTTAGCCAACTCCGTTCAGCACCTAGCTACCATTAGCATGCAAGCTAACTATTAACATCAACTAGCAGCGCACAAGTAACAAGCACTTCTTCAGCCTCCTCCTATGCAATGCTTTTGTAGTCAGTCCGTAGAAAAAATAGTGGCGTGCCAGTCATATCCTTCTTCTGTGTGAATTAAAACGCAGAAGAACACATATTTAGAGCTAACGTAAACAAATAGCCAACTCCGGTTGCAGCATTGATGTTCATGTGTGCTGCTGTCAGTTGACAGCCCGACGGAGGGGAGGTGACAACCAGCCTGCCCTTCGCAGTGTCTGCTTCGCTGATTCGCTACAACCCCCTCCCTCCACTGGGCCCATACTACTTTTCTGCGCTTATTAATAACCCACAGGAGCCTTTTCATAACCTTCTAAATTTGCATTTCGATTTCAGCACCATATTGACAGTTGAAACGTTTTAATTTTAACAAAGATCAAAATCCTCCATTGACTTTGAAAATAGACAAAAATAGACTGTTGCCTATTTTGTAGCTCATTTAGTAATTACATAACTACAGCATTAACAACAGCAACAACAACAAAAACTGTATAAACCATACATCCATGGTATAAACTCAGCCACCCACTCCCCATTCTTGTCTTGTTTTAGCTGACAATCTGAGGCTCATTTCCACCAGAGGTAGGCTATAGGCTTTATTTCTGTACATATTGCGTTGTGCCCGTGAGCCTCTGGCTGCAGGAGGCCCCGTTGAGGTGTATAGCGTGCATTTTTATGACTTACGTCTCATAGTGACATATTAAGCCCAGTGTTATTGTTATGACCTGCATACACCTCCCTCAAAACACACAGCACACTCTCTCAGACGATGATCCACAGATTCCCTTTTGTTTATTTCATATTTTATTTGACCATTTCCCTTGGATTGGTAAATTCCACATTAGCCTATAAATACGAGTTATAGCTTATAATTATTAGTTGATAAGTAGGATATAAATGTTCAACCCCATATTTAGCCCACATTTAGGAGAAATTGACGACATCTTCCCGGCCAGGATTCTTTCTCTAGTAATGGCGGAGATGTAGAATATGTAGTAGAGCTGCACTCTGATCTATAGAGCGCATACACAACTCGTGGCACCCATTGCCTAGCAACGCGGTGTCAAACACCTCTCTCCCAAAACACTAAACTCGCTGTCTGGTTCTTTCTGGTCGGCTGGCATGCTAATTATCTAAGTCTTGAACTTGTCCCTTAGTTTGGAAAAAACACATAGGTAAGTTATGATGAATATCTGTGTGCATGTTTTTGTAATTGTCATCTGTGAACACTGTTAACAGCCAAGCTATGTTGAGTAGCGTGTGTTGCGTCGAGGTCCGTTTCCTCGAGGATACGGCCCTATATGCGTTCCTCTCACCTTAACTTGAAACTACACTTACTCCTAATTAGTCTGGAACCTAATCCCTAAACCCAAACACGGACGGGCCGTTTCGGGAGGCACTGTTCTAACGGGAGAATGGGGAAAGCAGACTTCGACACAAGAATAACTTAAGCTGTGAGGTTAGCTGTTTAGATAGACTACATGTTAAAATTCAGTTTCTCTCTAGTTCACAGGATGGGCAAGAAAGCAAAGAAGGAGAGCGAAACTCCAAGTAAGGAAACGGTGAGACATACAGTAGTAAATGTAAAACATATCCTACTAATAAAATTACCTATAGCTGACCTGTTTCTGAAATTATAGGCTTTGTGTCCACTGACCAAACACCCATAGCCTGAAAACATGCAGGCCAACTATAGGCTACACCAAAAACTAGAAACATTTTTCATAAACATAAACATTGATAAACACTGGCATATTTCTGTTTCCTCATACCTACAGTTTGATGCAGTACCTGTTGTGAGCAAAACCCCAGCAACATTAGTGTTGCTGCTGAGCTCCCCTGAAGAGGACATTCTAATCAAAGCCTGTGAAGCAATCTATATATTTGCAGAGAAAGGTACAGCAAGCTACCCACAGTCAACCTTTGCTTTATTTATGAGCAACATTGCACTGGAAAGCACAAAATTCATCCCTGCTCCTTTATCGCTCTCTGTCTGACTTCATAAGGCTGTCCATATTACTCTCCTTCATTTTGCAGGACACTACAAAATGCTTTACCTCCAATGTAACATGTTTATTTTCTCTTCTACTGTATTTATTTGTACGTTTATGAGCTGTTTTATTTGATGTTTCCTGACATTTACTCATCTAATGTTTCCATTTTCCTCTATAGCTTTAAGCCCCACTTACACTGTCAATCTACTGTATTTCTTATACACTTCTTCACTGATAATAAATCCACACAGGCACTCAGATTTTGTCTGGAACTATGCTGAAATTTCTTTTTGACTGTCTCCCTCTGTTGTTAGGAGATGAGAACAAGGTTTGTCTGCTGGGGCTTGGGGCGCTGGAGCCTCTCTGTCATCTCATCACTCACAACAACAAGCTGGTCAGACGCAATGCCTTCATGGCCCTGGGCATCATGGCTAGTAACGGTATGTCACACAACATATGTCATCAGTGCAAACTTGCCTGCTGAGGGTCTTGATGGCTGACAATACAACTTATTTAACAAGCTGACTAAGTGACATTGATATTTCCTAAGTGTCTTTCTCCTTGTTGTCAGAATGACATACTGACTGGCTGCAGAACTGTTAGTTTAGTTGACTGAACAGACTGAGTGGGTTGACTCACTGAATAACTGAATGATTGTCTCTTGTTTTTATTGAAAGGTGATATAAAGACTGCTCTGAACAAACTAGATGTCATTCCAGTGATTATAGACAAATTGTTTCATGAAGGTGAGTCCCTTGGCTCGCAAGATATTCATTGGATACTACAACAATAAAATAAAGAAATTAAAAGATGTCATTCCTTTTTCTCAGTGGCCTAAAATATTTGTTCCATGCTGTCATTGTATAGCATATAACTTATCTACTTATATCTCTATATTTCAGTGTTTAATTCTTTATGTTCAGGTTTTTTATTTCATATATTCTGTTTTGACTTCTATTCAAGATGATACAGTTATCCATGAGTTTGCAACACTCTGCCTGGCCTCTCTGTCAGTGGATTATACCTGCAAGGTGCAGATCTTTGACAACAAGGGCCTGCCACCTCTAATCCAGCTTCTCTCCAGTCCAGACCCAGATGTTAAGAAGAACTCGCTAGAGACTATCATCAACCTAGTCCAGGTGACTGCCGATCATCAGTTTGGAGGAGGTTACAAGGCTATTTATGATTATAGGGCTTTTCATAGTAGACAAGGAGGAGTTATAGTTATGAGTATCTCAATATGTAACTCTGTTTTAAAGTGGATCAAATTGAAGCAGCTCTAAAATTCTTATCCCCGTAATATTTTCTGTTGGACTGTATTTGTGAAGGACTATCAAAGCCGCCTGGCAGTTCATGAGCTGGGTGGAATCCCTCCACTTCTTGAACTGCTGAAGTCGGACTTCCCTGTCATTCAGCATTTGGCTTTAAAGACGCTGCAGGATATCACCACTGATAAAGATACATGCACCACCTTTAGGGAAAAGCAGGGATTTGAGAAGCTCATTGATATCCTTAATAAAAAGGTAAATATCTGGGTGTGAGTTAGAGTGCATGGTTTTGTGTAGGGATGTATGTCTACTAATGAAACAAGAAGAAAAATATTGAGAGGGTAATAATGTTCTAAACTGCTTCTAGCTACTATGTGCACACAGATGTAACCAACGTTTGCATGATCTAATCTGTGCCCTGCATTTTTATTTCCTTTGTCACACTGGGGCCAGCTTAGAACATACTGTATTACTCTAGTGTACCTCTACTGCATTTATGGTTTATTATTATTTATTGTTTATTTCTCTTTGATTTGACTTTATTGTATTCAATTATAAAACCTCTTTTAATTCTGCCTTAGCTGATTTTATTCTTACTTTATTCAGTGTTTGAAATATGCTATAAATAAAGCTGCCTTGCACAATTATTGGGAAATACAGTAGTTTCTTTTAATATAACTCTTGATCACAACTCCTAATACCTTTTCTCTCCCTGTATTTTTATATCTTACAGGACTTCAGTGACCTTCATGCCGAGGCCTTACAGGTAGTCACTAACTGTTTGTGTGACACTGAGAGCCTCCAGCTACTCCACCGGGGTGGAGGCCTGACTAGGCTGATGGATTTTCTACTCACCCCTTACAGACCTGAAATCCAATCAACTGCTATTAAATGCATCACCAGGGTTGCTCAGGGCTGTAAGATAACTGTCTTTTAACTTTTCAACAATAGGTTTAAAAGGTAAAGGGGGTATATGGAATGCTTACTACTAACTGTCTATGTTTTTGCATGCCTGTGTGTTTAGCTGAAAATCGCAAACTGCTCCATGAGCAGAATGTGGAGCAAATTCTGGTAGAGCTTCTCTCTGTGGCCGACGTCAGTGTGAAAACATCTGCCTGTCAGGCTGTGGCTGCCATGAGTTTTCACCTACCCAGTAATGACCGCTTCAGAGACCTGGGTACACAGACATTCACTTGAGCACCATAACAACATGCTGACTACAGTGAAGTGTGAAGGAGCTTGATTTATGTGTGTTTCAGGTGGTATCCCTGCAGTGGTAAAGGGGCTGAGCAGTGAGAGCTCGGTGCTGAAAGAGGCGGCAGCCCAGGCGCTGTCTAACCTCACACATAGTAACCAGCTCAGTGCATTGTGAGCGACAGACAACCTGAATGCATTTATATACACACATCACAGAAACACCATGTTGTATGCACATATGAAAGTTTAAGACTGCATTTATTGTCTATTCTGTAGGTTTGCATTAAATCTCTACTCAATTTCTGTTGTATTTTCTAGTGCAGTGTATGAGGCCGGAGGCCATGAGCTCCTTGTCCAGCAGCTCTGGGGAAGCTGTTCTAGCACAGTAGCCCATGCTGCTGCCACGCTTGCTAACATGGCAAGACATGAAGTCATTCGCTGCAGCATCTTGTCACAAGGAGCTATACAGGGTCTGGTGGAGCTGTTAAAGTCCACACATACACAGGTCCTGGTCAACACAGTACTCTGTCTGGCAGTACTAGTTTGTGACACAGAAGCTAGAGCACAGGTTGGTTTATGGTTGCTGCTTTTATTCTTAACCCACTACAAACATCTATAGAAAAATGTTTACTATAGTTCTAAATAATCATGAAATTTAATATGCTTTCTCTGTGTACCTAAATTTGACCCTGTCCTACATAGCTACAAAGTGCTGGAGGCCTTCAGCCACTGGTCAGTTTGTTGCGATCCTATCACAAGGAGGTGTTGCACAGTGCATGCTTGGCAGTGAATGTCTGTGCCAGTGATAAGACCACTGTCGTGGAGATGTGCAAACTTGGGTAAGACACTGAAATGAGAGATAACAAAAACTTGGCACTGATGAATCAGCAATATATTACTGTGTAGCACAGCAGAGAAATGTAAAGTACTACTACTCATCAATTCAAAGCCTAGTAGAAGCAAAGTGTGATAGAACAGGTAAAAAAAAAAATCTCTTAAATAGCCAGCAGATGGCAAAATAGCACAGTATTACGCATGGAAGTGTAAATCATTTTTGTTGTATGTGTTTATGTTTGTTCAAGAGTGGATTTTTAGAATTATCATCAGCATCTGAATATCTGTATGTGGTTGTATGTTGTGTGTGTCCCAGAGCACTGGAAATACTTCAGGAAATCAACCAGTCAGTGAATCTTAGGAGCAGTTTCAGCGAGTTGGCAATGGGCAGCCTGCTTAACTCCAACTTGTCTGTTAAATACAGCTTGACAGGTCATTTGGCCTCCACTGACATTATTAGTGATGGCTTCTACGACACTGGGAAGGTGTGTTTACTATTACAATTTATGTCCTACAGAAGTCGCTTCAAGGAGTGTAGATTACTTTGAAAAAAAAAAACAGTTGTAACGTATGTAACTTGATGTAATCTGTTTCAGTAATGTGGAAACTTTGTTTTCGCTTTGTGCATTTTGATGGTTAGCATACATATTTAAAGTGATAACACAGACTTTATGTCTCTCTTTCAGGCTCATGCAGGTCAGAGAATTCTCACTTTAGAGGAACTGTCTATGCAGCCAGTCAACCAGCGCCACCCCATCATTGCTGTTAAAACAACAGTAGAGTATGAGTCCAATATCACAACATATGTTTTGATGGATTTCTTCATGTGGCTTACCACTTATATCTTGGTGCTGGTGGTTCTGTATTTCAGAAACCTTGTGCATTAAAAAAACAAGAAAAGTGCTTTAGTTTACTCAGTTGACAATGTAAATTTTCATTTTGATATCTACACAATATACATGCATACATGCATACATACATACATACATACATACATACATTACATTACAGCTGTGTAAAAAGTGAAGTTTGGACAAAAATTTTGTAGTTGTTCAATATATGCAGCTACTCCCAGGTTATTAAAACTTACTGGATCCCTTACACTAAAAGTAGAGTGGAAATTCAACCAGAAACCACACAAATAATAAACCATTAGGTTCTTACTGAAATAGCTGTACCAAATAGTTGCTGTCTGCAATTGCTACAGTTTATTGTGGCTGTTAGATTACTGTCACCCTCCCCATGTTTACTCCAATCCAGTGCTTGGCTTTTCTTCCTTTCTTTTCTCTTGTTGCCTTCATTGTGCCTCACGGGGAAACCCATTTTTTAAAGATGGCAACACACTCAGAGTAAAAGAGCTTTTGTATTTAGACTAAGAAGCTTCTGAACTTGCACACACAACTACAAACATGCACAAATGCACAGTCATGAAGACACACTTGAAGATGCCAACACACAATATGTATTAAAGGTTATACATGCACACACACTAACACTTTTAGCATCATTGCCAAAGAGAGGACTACCCCCATAGGGTACTTCAGGTCAACCCCATTTCTACCATGACCCCATTTAGCATGCAAACATTCTTAAGCAGGGTGTTATGTAATACATTTGTGGTCTAATTCATTGCATATTATAACCCAAATTTAGCTTTACAAAGCAAAATGCCTCAGTTCATTTAATATTTTGTTGTCCTCTTCTATCTCCTGCTGAGTAAAAGATTTGATTGCAGATCCTATTGCACTGATTAGTTATATCATGTGAATGTCAAATCACAGCAAATTTACTTTCATATCATTTTCCATTCACAAAGCACTTAAAAATGATTTACATAAATCATAAATGACATTAGGAAAGAAACATAGAAAAGAAACACAACACAGAGATTTGTTTTCATTTTACTGTCTCTTTGTACAGGAAGATGAAAGAGGATGAGAAACAGAAAGCTGAGACCCAGCCACTTACACAGAAACCATGGAAGATGATGGATGACGTCTCATTGCATGTTCTTATTAAAGAGGCCAAACGATCCGTTCTCCCACTGAATGAACGAGAGCAGTATGCTGCCTTGGCCAGGTGATGGACTAATCCAGTCAGCTGTAATCAACATACACAGATGTCAATACCACTACAGAGGAAAATATATATGAAATGATTGGCAGTTACTGTATTCTAAGTATCCAGATTCATAAAAACAAACTTAAACAACATACCATAGACATTTCTACATTGACTTATTAAATACCAGTAAGGGTTCACTAAAATAACAGAAGCAGCATACTCAGCTTACAGGAAGCACTTTGAAGATTTTGAAGTTTTCTGCATTGTAATGGCTTCTGTGTTCATGGATTTGGGTGTCAGGCTGGTGAGTGAAGCCATGGGTGGAGCAGTGGAGAAGGAAAAGTTGCATGAATTCACATGGTTGCTGCACCTCAGCCAGCTCAAGTTCCAGCTTCAGTCTAATGTTATTCCCATTGGCTTGATCAGAAGGGGAATCTACTGCCACAGGGCACTTCTCTTCAAGGTACCATACATCATCATCACCTTTCTCTGTGACTTAATCGAACCCTAACCCTAAGATGTCCCCATCCTTCACATAAAATATTTTCCCTGTTTTCTTTTCTGCTCCTTTTCTCAAGTTTATCTTGCTTCCAAATAACAATATCCTGACCTGTCTTCATTCTATTACTTTTCAGTGTTTGGCTGATTGCCTTGGGATAAGCTGTACACTTGTTAGGGGTGAATACAACCGGGCTTGGAACGAGGTACTCCTCTTCAATGGGACTCCTTCCAGCAATGGGTTCTCTTCACAGCCTTGCCGCTACATAGTAGACCTCATGCATCAGCCTGGAAGCCTACTGGCAGTCAGTACAGTTGCTGCTGAGCAATATCAGACTATATAGATCTGCAATAGTATAAATATATTTCAGTAGTCTATATATTTCTGTGGCTAGACATTTAATTTCTATTGTATGTGCATTTGCTGCAGACCTTTAAATAACTCAATACATAATTATTTAGTTGATAGTTTTGGTGTATGCACAAGTCAAAAAGAAAAAGGCCATTTGTTTATGACTAAAGCTTCTCTAATAAACACAGCAATTTAACTTGTGGTTCTGTTACAGTGGATAGATAAGTCAGATAGCAGGTGGTCTTTACTGTTTGTGCTTCAACTGAGGTCAGACAGAAATAACTATTAAAAAAGGGTTAAAAAATATGTAGGCCTACCCCCACATAACAAGAAACATGTCAACCAGTGCAGAACAACGGCTCACTGGTTTGTTTTTAATTGTTTTCTGGCAACAATGGAGGTGTGACCAAGTTCTGGAAATTTTATTGTTGGGCTCTCTGTATGGTATTTGTGGGCACTAACCAAAAAAAAAAAAAAGAAACTCGTCGGTCTTAACATTTAAGATTTAAGAAAACCAAATGAACATTACTCTAATATGTGCCTGGGGGATCTCATTTTACTGTTCATTGGACTTACATTGTTATTAAAAATGGTAACATATCTTAAAATATACCATAAAGACCTTATACGTGTAACTGTAATTTCTACATAATTAAGTTATAGCTGCACGTTGTGTTGCAATAAAAAGGCAATTAACCCAGCGCACTTTGAATTATGTAATGCAAAGTGTGATTTTTGACCGGGTCACTCCGCTAACAGCCTGGATCAGTGCAACGCGAGCTCGCTGCGCCATGAACAGTCCCGAGGCAGCCAGTGCGCAGGCTTCTGCTGAAACCTGGACTTGTCTTCAGGCTGGACACAACAGAGGAAAACATGTCACGATTTGTCGCGCGTTTGTTCATTCTCGCTTCTCAGCGCGCCACAGCCAGATCCGTGGTGTTGTTGAGAAGGGTATTCATCCGTCCTCTATCCACAACTCAAGGTAGGCTACCGGGGCAACATTTGATAGCTTTACTGTCTCTCCATTCTTTGGATGTAGCTGCAAATTCCCACGGGCGCATTATGCTGTAGTTTTGTCAGGGATATTGGATATTAGGACATTTTAATGTGATTGGGAGACAGTCTGATAGCACCTAAAGGCAGCTGCAAGCTCTTAGTTATACATGGTTACCCGAAATTAAGATTAAGTAACACTTTATGGGCGTTTTATTAAGAAATGTTACATTCACTGGTAGATCATTGCCTCAAGGTAGGCTAAAGTTAATTACACGTTATTACATTACATTTTCTCCTTTGGTTCCATACTCTTTGGGTTCTGTGGTTTAAAGTTGTGGGTTCTAATTCGAAAAGGTTTAGAAACCACTGCATTACAGATAGCGTTCATGTTTTATTGGTGAGTTGTTGTCGCATCAGCTTTTTATGTTTACCTCCAGCACAGTGTCTTCAAATGCACATGTGAACTTCACTGTCACCTTCTCATTATGGCCTCTGCTTTCTGCAGGCCTGCAGTCCCTCACACGATACAGTGAGAATGAAGACTGGCAAAAGAAACTCACCCCAGAACAGTATGTAGTCACCAGAGAGAGAGGAACTGAGGTGGTAAGTTTCAAAAGTGAACTAATAATATGTACCCTCATGCCAAGGTAACTGTGTTCTAAATTAATATTTTGAAATTCAAACATGCACAATACAGTGATTTATGTCAAGCCAACACCATCTCAGCCTGACTGAGGTATTTAGCTCATAAACATTAGCACAGTTCCAAGTGGACTTTGATCAAAAGCCCATACAAACCTTTGCTATATTACGAATTTGAAATTGTGTGATAAACAGCTGATGTAAAAAAAAATGCACAAAACCAACAATGAGCTTAAGGACACAAAATGTATGATATGATGAAATATCTTGACACTCAACTATTAATCCGGTTTCTGCTCCTAACATTGTGTTTTGGTTTGTGGTTGTATTTGTGGGTGTTCTCAGCCTTTTAGTGGGATCTACCTTAACCATTATGAAGTGGGGATGTACCACTGTGTCTGCTGTGATGCCCCACTCTTCAGGTAACAGTTTGCACTGAAGCATTTCTTACATTCATGCATGCAGAGGCTTCAAAATTTGATAAGTAATAATAGTTGGTTTACAGTCTTTCACAGAAAATAAAACAAATAATATAGTAGCCATTCAGTCACAGTTTATGTTGAATGGATACTCCCTAATAGGATTTTGTGCTAGTTGTTCATTTAAAAGTGTATTAGTAGATGCTTACTGTGGAAATGTTGCTTGCTTTCTGGATAGTTCAGAGGCTAAATATGACTCTGGGACAGGCTGGCCAGCATTCAAAGAGGCTCATGGGACATGGGAGAGGGATGAAAGCCACACTTCCATCATTCGTCGCCCTGACAACAGCCTGGGTAGTGCTGGGACAGAAGTCCTTTGTAAAAATGTGAGTTGTTTTTTCTTTTTCTTTTTTTTTAGCTATGAAGCCAAAATTCTGTTTGCTCAGTATAGTTGTTCTAAGTAATGCAGCTAGCTTTGTGTGCAGTTCTTTCTTTCTTTAAGGCAGTGTAGGCTAGAATTCAAAATGTGTGTCTCATTCACACTATGTAGTTGGAATTTCAAAATAATATAAATACAGCCATCACTTTTGTATTTTTGGTTGTTTCTGATTTTTGTGAGTTTGTGTGTGTTGTGCAGTGTGATGCTCACCTGGGTCATGTGTTTGATGATGGACCAGACCCAACGGGTCAGCGATTCTGCATCAACAGTGTGGCACTCAAGTTTAAACCAAGAGAAAACAAGCCTGAAAAGCCTCAGGAAAACTGATGAACTCCATGGACTTGCCTAAACCACTGAAATCACACTTTTACTGTATGTTTCTTTGTAGGTCAGTGTTTTGGGGAGGTCAGTGTATTCAGGTCTGGAAGTGAGAGGTTCTGTATGGTACAAAGTAATGTTTGAACATTGGGGTAAATACTGTATGCTTCCCGGGATTTATTAAACTGAAAGAAGCTTTTGTTGAGGGCTTTGGCTCTAGACACTGGAGAGAATACTACAAATCTGCTGAACATGCACTATATTACATGAGTCACTCAATGTGTAGACCAACAGTCACCTAAAGCATACTTCCTAATTTACTCACTGTGTGGATTGCTTTTAATGTTTTCTAATTTTTGTTCAGTTTTGTCTTAATGAATGTCAACTGAACGATGCTTGTCTTCAAGTTGAAAGAGAAACCTGACACTTCAGTGTGGAACATAGTACCTAACCCATAGATGTCACAAAGATTAATTGCCTCTAAACACCATCATTATGTGTGACTTGTTTTCATGTGTGAAAAATGTCAAAATACACTGGACCTTAATTAAGAAGACCTCCTTTTTTGTAGAGAATGCAAAAAACAGCAAGTTATGACATTGCTGCTTCTTGTATTTTTCAGTCTGGTGCTGGATGTACAAATCCAAATGGTTTGTCTGATTTAGGAGCTCTTAATGTTTCCAATAGGGAAGGCGACAGTGGTGCGGTGGGTAGAGCAGTCGTCTCCCAACCAGAAGGTTGAAGGTTTGAATCTCGGTGCTGGTGGTCACAATGTCTTTGGGCAAGACACTGAACCACCCCCGCCTCGATGGTTAGAGCTATCAGTTGAGGTGGCACCGCACATGGCTGCCATTGGTTTTGTACAAATTCCTTGTGTGTAACATACTTGGCCAATAAAGGTGATTATCCTTATCCAGTAGATGAACATGTTTGTTTATCTAAATCTAAGGTTTACTGATAATGTTAGCATTTAAAACTCAGTATTTAATGAGAATGTATTGCTGCCACCCCAGCTCAGATGCACACACTGTAATGCTGCAGTATGGCCTAATTTCTGTCAGTAAATCAAGTTAATGTTCAACCTAATAGGCCATCCTCTGTTTCACATTGCTTGTGTTTTTTATGCATGCCGTCCGTCTGTGTGTTTGAGGTTGAGCAAAGTACATAAGGAAACGTAGACAGAGAGGGCAGAAAACCAAATCGAAAACCAGGAGGAGGGTTTAGAAGTAAGAGTACCGGAAGCGGAGCAGTGTTAAAGGACAACAAGCCTTATTCTTGACTGTATTACTGTCAGGATGGCTGGAGTGTGGCGCTGCATGTTGGCAGTGGCAGTGTTGATGTGTGTGTGTCTGCGGGGTTCCAGTGAGGCTGTAGGGGGTGCTAAGAGTCGACCACGACCCCAGAGACGACCTCCCAAGAAGCCAAAGGTTGACCCTATTGATGTAGGCCCACCACCACAGAACATAGACATAGAGCAGGTAAGAAACTGGAGGAAGAGGCAGATTACTGACACTACTGCATGTGTGTTTGATTCTGTGTATTATTATTTCTGTTTGATTTCAGTAATTATTACCCAGGTTGCATTTGGTTTGCCATAAAGTGACCATTTAAATCTTGTATTCAAACTTAACTGTGACCAGGACCCGATTAATGAAAAAGATGCATTGAAAAGTAGGAGAATATCTGCTTCCAGACAGCAGATTGAAGCTGCAGCCAGAGAATAACCACAGTAAACTGTTTACTATGCTGTTAGCTGACCTTTACACACTCACAGTTTGAGTTGCACCCTAATGGCACAATAGCACATACAAATAGGATTGCAAAAGAATCAGTCAAAACCATGGCATTTTAAATCAGCCAAACACTTGCCATACACTGACCAGTTCAACAGGTTTTGTTCATAGTTAAACTAAATGTTAAAAGATCCTAAAATATTACTTGAGGAGGTTGACACTTATAACCAACTTAAACTTAAAAACCAAAGAGTTTTCTTGGTTATTGATTAGTGTGGTGGCTGGCAATGTGGACAAGCTTGTGTAATTGTGTCAATATTGTGTTTTAGGCAATAAGGGGAATTTTCAGAGAAACAGAATTTGAACAAAACAAAATATTATAGAGTAGGATAATTGAAACAGATTTTCTTTCATTAACAGAACAGAGAAAGGTTCAGATGTTACCAAAATATTCAATCTAAGTTTATTTGACCATGGCAAAATAGGGCAAATCCTAGGTAGAAAGACTTTACAGAATAATATGGTGAAACAAACAGTCATTAATCTCAACTAAAAGAAAAAAAATATACTGCTAATTTTTTTAGCAGGATAGAAAGCAACTCCATAAGGCTTAAGGGATGTATTTGTGTTTTATGTCTCTATCCATTTTGCCTGGTGTGTTGCAGATGACAGGAACATGGTACTTGCTAAACACTGCCTCCAAATGCTCCTACCTGATAAATCATGGAACCAAAGTGGAGCCTACAATCATGAGCCTCAAACGTTCCTCTGACTCTGATCAAACACTGCTAGTTAGCACAAAAACACGACAGTAAGTACCAGTCTTTACTTAGTACATGGTGCATGTAGCTCTTGCTGCTATTTTTTCAGTTTCTTGATTTATAAGCAGAGGGAGTTAAACAGGCCAATCTGCCAACTCACTCATGGCATGGTGAATTCATGGTCAAACCATCTGTGCTTGAGTTTGTGTCTGAATCCTCAAAACAGGAAGAAGTTGGTAGAACATTTGAATCCAACAGCTTTTCCTCATCATTTTAATAATATGTTGCAGAAGGACACAGAGAACAATTGTCAGGTCCGCTTGGCGCGACCTGCCTCTCTTTTGCCTTTCTCTCTCCTGCTTGCTGTTTTTGCAGGACCGGCGCCTCAGCTGTGTCGCATTTTGTAATGAGTGACTTGTGGGTTGCTGCGCACAGCTGGGGCACATTACTGTAATCACCCTCCTACCTTATTTATACCTCTGGCGGACGCTCCGCTGTCGCCGGAGCCTTAAAGTGCATACCCCGTAACAGCCCTTTATTCGTGGTGTGTATAAGATGTATTTTGTTATCCACGCTGACAGGTCCTGTGCTGTGGATCTCATTATATACGTAGGTTATATGTTTTGTGCTATACGGTCCGCGTTGACAGTTCCTGTGCTGTGGACTGCTTTGTTTTGTTTTTTGTCCATGAGGTTAGCCAGACGTTACCTTTTTTTATCCAAGCTGACAGTTCCTGTGCTGTGGATATCCTTTTTGTTCGCCTGTCCTCTTGGTTAGCCTGTCCATTCACCTGTCCGCCCTGTTCCTCCCACTTTCATGGTTTCTGCCGTTAGCCTGTCGCCTCTACTGGTCATCCCAGTCTCCTCCACCCTCTCTACCCTAATTTGCTTATATATGTACATTGCCCTTGTTATGTTGTTACTTTGTGTTTTGTTCCATTAAACCTTTTTTTTAACTAGCACCTGGGTCGGCAATCTTGAGTCCAACCTCAGTTCTCCTGGTGAGGGGGACAAACCATAACAAAATGCTCCGGCCAACAATGGACTCAGCTGGCTCAGGTGCTAGCCTTCCCTCCTCTTCATTCACCACCCATAGTTTGAATCAGCCTCGGTCATACTTTCCTGAGACCTACAGTACCTCAGCTCAGCAGAAACCAAGGATATTTACCGGTTAATAACATATCACAAGTTTTCCCCATTTTCTTTCCCTGAGGAAGCTCCCAAGCCCTCACCTCCACAGACTCTTTTTCCCTCCATGTGGCTGAGCTTTTTTTTTTGTCTCCTGTCCCCGAGCCCACTCCAGTTTCCACCAGTTTTTCTAGGTGCTAGCCTTCCCTCCTCTTCATTCACCACCCATAGTTTGAATCAGCCTCGGTCATACTTTCCTGAGACCTACAGTACCTCAGCTCAGCAGAAACCAAGGATATTTACCGGTTAATAACATATCACAAGTTTTCCCCATTTTCTTTCCCTGAGGAAGCTCCCAAGCCCTCACCTCCACAGACTCTTTTTCCCTCCATGTGGCTGAGCTTTTTTTTTTGTCTCCTGTCCCCGAGCCCACTCCAGTTTCCACCAGTTTTTCTTCTTCCCCTTACGCTGGTACTCGGTTGCCCATCTGTCCAGGTGGTCCTGGAGGAAGGTGGAGCAGGAGGACCAACCGACACTCCAAGCACTCCAAGCTGCAGCCCCAGCTCCAGTCCAAGCACTCCACGCCGCAGCTTCAGCTCCAGTCCCAGCAGCCCAAGCCCTCGCTGCAGCTCCAGTCCCCGCAGTCCCAGCCCTCGCT